TCTCCTAACCAGATCATCAGATGGCTGACATTTCATGTGACCAAACCACCTAAGACAACTCTCTCTCTTCTCCACCACTGGAGCTACAACAAACCTATCATGGATATATTCGATTCGCATTTTGTTTCGAAGTGTCAAGGCACATCCACCTATGCATTCTTATCTCAACAACACTTAACTTTGTTTTATACTTCTCTTTTAAAGGCCAAAATTCTGCACCATAGAGCATTGCAGGTCTCACTACCATCTTATAAAATTTTTCTTTCAGTCTAAGCAGTACTTTTCTATCACACAATAGGCCCGATGCATTCCTCCACTTCTACTAATAACATCCCCATCTATATCACCATCACTTCGAACAATACACCCGAGATATCTAAAACGTTTACACCTTTTAATGATTTGATTAGTCATAGTTACAACTCTGTCGTTAGAGCTACTACTAAATTATATTCCATGTATTCAATTTTAGTTCTACTCAAACGAAGACCTTTAGGCTCCAATGTAAACTTCCATAATTCAAGTTTTGCCTGAACTCTTTCTTTAGTCTTATCCACAAGAAGGATATCATCATTGAAAAGCATACACCAAGGTACATCCACCTTTAAATGTCCTGTAAGAGCATCCATAACTTAAACAAATAAATATGGGCTTAAAGCTGATCCTTGATAGAATCTAACTAAAATAGGAAAATACTTGGTCAATTCTTCTTCTGTTCAAACACAAGTAACAACTCTAGTATATATATCTTTCAAGACTTGAATATAAGTCATATCAACACATTTCTTCTCTAGAACTCTCCAAATGACTTCTCTAAAACCCTTATCGTAAGCTTTTTCAAAATAAAAAAAAAAATCATATGTAAATCCTCTTTATTCTCTCCGTACTTCTCCATCAAACCTCTCAATAAAGCATATTTTGAAATGTTATTCTAGGAAAGCATTCACTTAAATTTTAAATATTCCATGAGGTTCAGGATCCAAAGTGACATCATACTTACTTTCATTTTCAAAGTCAATCATATTTATTATCATCTAATTCTATCTTGCTTCACTATAATTTTTTTTATCAATTAATCTGAAATTCCATATAATTTAAAATAAAAAATAAATTAATAACATAATCAAGTATTCATACTTAAATTATCTATTGATCTTTTTTAGACATTGTATGAAATATATAGTGTATATTAATAGTATAAGATAATATATGTTTTCACCTAACCTGATCGAGATGTTGCCTCAAACGTCTCCAGGCATAAAGCACAAAGCCTCGAGACGTGCGCCGCACTTCAGCTCATATATCAGCCACACCCAAGCAGAAACATTAATGTTTTCTTTCAGAACAGAATTTGATAAAGTTTTACTTAAGTTTAAAATGTTTAGGATTTTCATTTAGCAATATTTTTTTCAAATTGTTGTTCAAGAGTGTGTGTGTGTGTATATATATATATATATATATATATACACACACATATCAGATTTACCTTGAAGGTTTAATGGTGGATTTTATAAAATTAAAATAATGCCGACGATGTTGTCTGGATCCAATGTTTGGTTAATTAATATATAAGTTGCCAACGATAGAATAATAATGTTAAGATGAATTGTGTGATAAAATGAACAAATATGAATTAAAGAACGATTATAATAAAATAAAAAATTGGAGTGACGTCTATTGAAAATAGACTTGGGCAGTTTGAGCACATATAATAAAAGGGTAATACAAAGTTAATTAAATTATTATCAAACAATTAAAAAATAAACCTATGGTTATGTGGAAAAATACTATTCAAAATGATTTGAGAGTAATAACTCTATAAACTCAGATAATACATAATTGAAATAAATGAAACATAAAAATTCATAACACCAATCCTAGCAAGTCGGGATAAAGATAATGGTGACAATGAAAATGACAATACATAAATTTCCCAAAAAAAAGGAATCGTTGTCATAACAAAAACCAATGCAGAAGGTAGCAAATGCATATTTGGTATTAAATTTGGAACAAGTGACAGTACTATAATTTACATAGAAAAGGACATAAGCAAACGGTAATATAGGTAAAAAATTAGCATTTTCTACTCTATCATCTTACCTGGATTGTTATTGAGGACTCTTAGCGCCACAAGAGCATGCTCATGCTCTTTAAAATCTACAAATGCAACACCACGTGAATGTTTCTTGGCAGAAGATTGTCCCTTTTTATCATCCTTCAAGAGTTTTACCTAAGTACAGAACAGTTTAGACATCCCGAAAACCAAATGGATTTTGCTTGGTTAAGAATAACCATTTAACCTACGTATCAAACCTTTTGAACTTCCGGATTTTGCTTTGATGCCCGAGAAAGGATTGCATCTATAAACATCTTCTTCACTTCCTCTTGAGTCATCGTCTTTGGCACATTATACATAATGAGTCTTGTCCTGGATACGTGGAACTTTGGAGATCGCAGCATTTCAATCTTCTTTTTGGCTAACCTATTCAAAGAAGTTTAAATTTTCATAGATATTCAAATCAGAATAAATGCTACAGATATGAAATAATATTAAAATTAGCTACATAGCAACAAAAAGGAATGCGATGAAAATTGTTAGACAGGTGCAAAAAATTGGATCAGCATATGCAATGGACAAGGCAGTAATTTAGCATCCAACAACAGAAGGTATTGCCGAAATTTGCCCACAAGTAAATGCAGACAAAGTTTTCAAATTCTATGAAAAAGCAAGCAACAACAAGCCTTCCAGATTTTAATGATAAATAAAAAATAATAATGAAAAAGTAAATTTCATCATCATTATCATCAATCACCTCAATACCAACTATTTGTGGGAGGCATTATGAATCATTATTCTCCATTTGCTCTTGCTCATTGTTGAAGGAGTTGTTAGACCTATTATATGTAAATCATCCAACACAATAATTTTATCACCTAACATAAGGCCATTATCTTCCCTTCATTATTCATATCCAAGTCACCCAAATTTATATTTTGCAAACTTCTCTTCTATAGATATAACATTCTAGCCATCCTCTTAATATATTTATTTCTCAAGCTATCCCATCCTACCTTTGCCGTATATATTATCTTAACAAACTTTGTTACCAGTGACTTTTTAATAGCCAATGCTCAGATCCATACACTGTAGGCATGGTTTTCAATGACGAATGGCGCAACATGGTACGAGGGCTCTAGAGAGTAAATAGGGCATAACACATGGCGTCGTGAACATTTTAAAAATGAAAACAAAATCAAATAAAAATGTGTAGAACATTTTAAAAATGAAAACAAAATCAAATAAAAATGATAAATATAGACATAATTCCAGTATATGATATAAGATCCACTTCATACAACACATTAGAGTAAAATAAAACTCAATCTTTAATAAAATAATGAGTTTTATACACAAAAATTTAATTTTTTATTCAAAAAGAGAAATACTAAATTGTAATTTCATAAAATTGTAAGCTAAACTAAAAGCTTAATCCTCAAACTCATCATTATCATAAGTAAAATGAGCTTCACCATCCCTGTCCACATCCCCGTTCAATAAAATCGGACTTTATCAATTCACGATCGAACCGCACAGTAGAAACACACCAATTTTAGATAACTAGAACAACAAACATAAGTGCATAACACAAGAAATCTAGAAAAAACACAAAAAAATTAACGTGAAAAAACCAGAGAATCAGAAAAAAACAAGTCGCACCACAACAAAAACTTCATAATGAAAATCAAGAAAAATATACAAATTATACCATGCTCGAATTTCCCCTCTACTTTCCTCGAACTTGCAACAACTTGGACACCCCTTCCCATCTTGATTGCACAAGAGAAATCAGTCGAAATCCACCCCTTGACTCTTCACGCAACTCGCACTTGCACTTGTTACATGTTGTTGAAAAAAATATACAACAGGCCTGTTTTCAAATGAAATGAGGATTTAAAATCAAACAAGAAAAGAGAATCGCTCCTAGCGTTGAATCGCTCATCTCGAGTGTTGGTTTTCCACTCGCGCAGTTTTGAAAGCACGATCTGATTGTTGTCACGCCCTTCCAGGGTGTAGACATTCCAATCACTCTGTTTTTGGACCTGAAATGAGCAAAACAGTGGTGCATTTATGCCCTGACTAGCCACAAGACTTCCATACACTGGGCGTTGGGCGCCCTTCCTGGCAAAGGGCTGCCCGCTATGGGCACAGTGTGTCCCTAAGGGGTACTGATTTTTTTGTTGCACAACGTTGGTGTTGTTGTTGTTATGTCTCGGGCTCCACAACACCAGCAATCTCTCACTTGGAGACTGATAGCGCCCAATTCCACACCTCCAAAAATGTACTATTTTCATACTATTGTATCGTAATGTGGCTCACCTCTAATTTCAAACTTCCTGAACACCAACTCAAGCCAAGCAAAACTTCAGTTTCTTGGTAGTCACCACCTTAGTTAACATATCTGCAGGATTCTGAGTTTGTATGTATCTTTAAAAATAATAATAACTGCTCATCTTCTAGAAGAGTGAATAAAATGATACATTAATTGAATATGCTTTGCCCGGGAATGAAAAATGACATTCTTAACTATATGAAAAACACTAATACGATCATTATAAAGCTTTCCAATCCCTTACTCATTGTCCATTTTTGTCAACTCTGCATCCAAAACAACTCCTTGTTAGTCTCAGTTATAGCAATATATTCAGCTTCCATAGTTGAAAGTGCAACAATATTCTGCACCCTGAAAACCCAATTCACTGTTGTGTTCCCCAAAGTAAAGATATATCCCTATTGTACTTCTTCTACTATCCATATCACCCGTAAGATTTAAATCTACAGATTCGTGTAGATCAATTCATGCATTTCCAAAACAAAATGCTTTGTTGATTATTCCCCTCAAGTATCTTAGAACACCTCCTCCAAATGATATTTGTCAGTAATGTCATGCACCTGCTGATCACTCGCACTGCATGTGCAATATCTGACCTCATATATATCATAACATACATCATACTTTCAATAACTGAAGCATATAGAGTTCCTCCCATCTTGGTTTGCTCTGCTTTAGACTTAAGTAATGGTTCCTAAGATAGCTTAAAGTGAACTAAGGTGTACACTGATTTTGCCTAACTCATATTGAACATTTGTAGCACATTCTCAACATAAGACAACTTCAAAGTATATGCACACTTTTTTATGTTGATTCTCATTCCGAGAATTTTCTTGGTTAGACCTAAATCCTTCATCTCAAATTCTCTTGATAATTCCTCCTTCAAGTCCTTGATTTTCTCGATATATGCTTATGCAATAAGTATGTCATCCACATACAAAAGAAGCAAGACATAACAATTACCAATTTTTTTAATGAAGCGACAGTGATTTGTCTGACACTTCATGTACATACTGCTAGACATGAACTTGTCAAACATTTTATACCACTGTCTTGAAGTTTGCTTCAAATCATAAATGTTCTTCATCAATCTGTAGACCATGTTTGCTTTCTCCAGAATCTCATAACCCTAAGGTTGTAGCATATACAATTCTTCTTCCAGATCTTCATGTAAGAAGGTTATTTTTACATTCATCTTTTCCATATGTAGAATTTTATATGTTACCAACTATGATAATTGTCATTTTCACTACAAGAGAAAATATCTTAGTGTAGTTTACTCCTTTCTGCTAAAACCCCTTCACAACCACCATCTAACTTTTCATTCAATCTATAGACTTGCTTGTTGTGTTGTGCCTTTTTACATCGGGCATTTCTACTAAATCTCAAGTCTGATTTGACCTCAATGACTGCATCTTATTAACCATGATAAACCCCCTCTCCTTTAAATCTTCCAACTTGAGTGGCATCTTCATAACACTCTGGTTCACTACTATCAGTTAGCAAAAAATATTATAATGAAGGAGAATACCTTTGTATCGGTTGCATGACTCTGTTGGACCTCCTTACTTCAGTACCAGGTGACCGAAAAACTTCATATGCTTCATCAGATTGAGCATCTCTCATTTCTCGATCTTCTTTATCACTTTTGTCTTCTGTGTCAGCACGCTTGAATTATTTTTTAAAAGTAACTGACGGACTATCCTGAGTTATGCTCATCTTTTTTTACATTTTCAATTCATTGAACGTCGCATCCTTACTCCTGATGAACCATTGATACTGATAATCCAAGAATTTATACCCAGATTTATTTGAATCGTATCGAATGAAAGTGCACTTTATATATTTTGAGTCAAATTTACTTATGTATTCTGCATCAAAATTAACATATGTTGAATAGCCAAATAACTTCAAGTGAGATAAATTTATCTACTTATCACTCCTGGCTTCTTGATGTAAGCCTGTAGCGTTCACTATTTCTGCCCAAAATTGATTTGACAAGTCTACATGCAACCTCATACTCATGACATGCTTCTGTGATGGTTCTATGCATGCGCTCAGCCACATCATTCTTTTTGGGGTGTCCTTAACAATAAACTCATATCTGATCACTTATGATGCACACTAATTCCTAAATCGCCGATCACGATACTTGTCACCATTATCTAATCTGAAAATCTTGAGCTTTAAGTCCTTCTCATTCTCTAACATGGCCTTATACCTCTTAAACATCTCAAAAAAATCAGATTTATGGTTTAAGAAGTAAGCTTATACCTTTCTAGTGTGATAATCTATGAAAGTGATAAAATAATGAGTTTTCAATGGACTAAATCAGAATAAAGCCTCATACATCAATATGCATTAACTCCAACTTCTTGGACTTCACCATTGACCCACTTTTGGATAAAGATTTTTTTTTTTGTTTGTCATGCTTAGTCTTCACAAAAATCAAAATCTATAGATTTTACGAAATTTATTCTCAAAAAGTTGGGATTTAATACATTTCTCGCTTATAAGGCCAAATATGAGCTGCCAAAGACCCGCACAAACTTTTTTTAGCCACATCAATGATTATGTCATCTCATTGATAAAGTAAATATTGTCTCCAATGTGGCCCTAAGCCATCACCATGACCTCCCTAGTCACCTTCCATGAATCACCCGTGAAAATAGTCACATACCTTGGCCTTGAAAGTTGGCTCAAAGTGATCAAATTGCTCTTCAAAATTAAAACATGCCTAATTTTATTGAGCTTCTAAACTATTTCATTCGACAACATGATATCAACATCACCCTTTCCTACAATACTATAGCCTTTGTTATCATTCAAATACACCTTTCTTAAATCAATCTAAGTGTAATTTTTTTAAACATTTCATTGTTTAGGCATGCATAAGAAGAGACACTTGAATCTACCATCCAAAAGTACTGACTAGGGAAAAAACTAGGAAGTCACCCTGAATTTACCAGTAGAAAGATTCTTGTCTTAGCCTCCACAATCAGCTTTTTTCAAAGCTTTACATCCCTTTTTTAAAAGATATTTCTTGCAGTTCTGACGTGCTTCTATTCATTTCCCCTTCCTAACATGGACT